CTTCCTGCGCGCCAAGCTGCCCGACATGCCCCTGCGGGACATGTACCTCAGCGGCAGCCTCTACGACGACCTGCAGGTAACTCCTGGGCTCCTCGGGCAGGAGGCTCACCACGCAGGGCCGTTTCAGCCTTCCCTGGTGGCGCTGCTGGCTCAGCACAGCATTCCTCAGTAATAAGGCCCCTGGTGCTGCCTCTCCCACTGTGGAGCCAGGCGTCGATTTCCACAGTGCTGTTTGAACAGGCATGACCAGGCTGCTCTGTCATTGTCTGCAAAGCCTTTGCTTTTTTGTTTTGTCCTTCTTTGTTTCTCCTCTGTCTCTTTTAGTTGTGTTTTTCTTGCTGTTTCTCCGGTACATGTCTGTTTTCTCTCCATCCCTCTGTAATCATCCAAATACATTCCCTTAGAACTCCCATGTATTCATGTAGGTCTTTCCTACCCTTTATTTTTTTTTTTTTTTAATGCATGACAGACCTGGATTGGACAGCAGTCCCTGCTACAATATCTCCCTGATGGCAAGATGCCCATGGCTATAGTGAGTGATTCAGAGGCACACTTCTTTGTTTGAGTCAGAGCTCTGGAATGGAGCATGGAATGTCCAGTGAAAATTAGACCTGGGGTGTTAATCACATTGATGAAAAGGGATCTTTAACAACCTTTTTCCAAACAATGTGGCAGACCAGGTGAGGGCAGTGTACCTAGCTGTAGCATTGGATTATTAAACCATGGCAACAGAAGCTTGTCAAGAAACTTGAAACTCTGTCTCCTGTTTAAATTGTCATGTGGCGTTGCTGTGCCCTCAGCCAGCTGCACCTCACAACCGAGGAGCAGATTTAAAGCAATATATGGCAGAATGATTCATCTATATGCAGTCCATGTCAGGTCTCTAAATAGTACATACCACGTAAGCACTAGGTTCAGCTATACCTTGGAATTATCCCACTGATGGCTGGAAATAGTCCTTCAGAATGCCTTTTAACAAAGGGAGGCTGGGAATCCCACACAGAGAGGAGAGCGAGACAGCTGAATCCTTATATTCCAGGTTCCTTTGGACAGAAGGCTATCTAAAGGTGGTGAATAAAATGCATGTGGAGAGAGAAAGCTTATTCTTACTGACTTTTCTCTCTTGTGAAAGGTAGTGACAGCTGACCACATCCAGCTCATTGTACCTCTCACGCTGGAGCAGAACCTGTGGTCGTGTATCCCCGGGGAGGACACTATCATGAACATTCCTGGCTTCTACTTGGTGCGTCGAGAAAACCCAGAGTACTTTCCTCGCGGGAGCAGCTACTGGGACCGCTGTGTGGTGGGAGGTTACCTTTCCCCCAAAACTGTAGCAGACACCTTTGAAAAAGTTGTAGCTGGGTCCATCAACTGGCCAGCAATCGGGAGTCTCTTGGACTACGTGATCCGTCCGGCAGCTCCCCCAGCAGATTTGACTCTGGAAGTGCAGTATGATGCAGATCGGCATCTTTTTATTGACTTTCTGCCATCCCTGACACTGGGGGACATCGTCCTCGTTGCCAAACCTCACCGGCTGGCCCAGAACGACAACTTGTGGCGCCTGAGCCTGCGGCCGGCAGAAACGGCGCGCCTGCGCGCCCTGGACCAGGGGGATTCTGGCTGCCGCTGCTTGTGCCTCAAGATCTTCAAAGCAGTGTGCAAGCTGAACCCGGCGCTGGGACACCTCACTGCCAGCCAGCTCACCAACGTCATCCTGCACCTGTCCCAGGAGGAGTCCGACTGGTCCCAGGACATGCTGGCTGACCGCTTCTTGCAGGCCCTGAAGGGGCTGATCCGCCACCTGGAGGCTGGTGTCCTCCCTAGTGCCCTGAACCCCAAGGTGAACTTGTTCTCAGAGCTCACCCCTGAAGAAGTGGATGAGTTGGGCTACACCCTCTACAGCTCTCTGTCGGAGCCAGAGGTCTTGCTGCAGACGTAATGGGGCCTTACCTAGGGAAGTGTTGATAGAGTTCAGCCAATGCAGACTTTGATTACTGCGAATTATGTCTCCTCCACTTCTCCCTGTCTCCCTCTCTCTCTTCACCACTCCCCCCTTTTGGTTCATTAGTAATTCCTGCTTTGGAGTTGGTGCTCCCACTGAATTTCTTGGTGCTACCGGTCCATTTCCACCATCTCTGCCCCAACAGGTACCCATTGGCTAGGGAGGAGAGGCTAAAACTGCAGCTCTGAGATCTTCACATAAATTCTGATGAGTTTTTAGTGTCTACCAAAAAAATAAACCAAACTATGCACTTCTTTCTTCTGCAGTACATTTACTGCAGCAAACCCTTTTTGGTCTGAAGAAGGTGGAACTGGGCTGGTAAATCCAGTGATGATTTTAGCAGACTTGCACTGAGGTTGTTTAATTTCCTCCAGCCTGATTTTGCCCTATGTTTCTTTTTCTCTGCTGTCCTACACTGTCTCACTTTCCTTTCTTTTATGTTCTTCTGGCCCAGTCATGCGGGGCAGACTGAGTGAGATATTTTGGATAGGGTTCTTTTTGTATTTCTGAGTGGATAATGATTACACTGGCAATATTTAGGGCTGTAGAGCTTGAAACTGAAGAATTCCCGCAGCTCCTGCTCCCATGGAGCCTTCTCATCCTTTGGAAGCTGGGTTCAGGATTAAGGGCCAAAATTTGTCCAGTCTGCTGCGACACAACGTCCTGTACAGACAATTGTTGTTGAGGCTGTCACAGGGGAGGAAGGAGCCTTTGTGGTCTGGTTGTGTGATGAGGCTGAAGGAGCAGAGCTTGCTGTTCCTGCCTAGCCAGATCTCGTGGGAATGGCCTCGGGAGCAGAGAACAAGGCAGCTCTTTGGTTGTCTCTGGCCTAGAGGAAGAGAGGGTGATCATAGGGGAGGGGTGGGAGACACATATGGGAATGGGGATTTTTTTTTCATCTTTTCCCCGAGAGCTTATGGCTGTTTTGGTTTACTGGAGGTGGAAACAAGATTGCATGCCTCAAAGGGTTTTGGAATAAGCACACACAAGCCAGATTCTCACCAGCTCTAAAGGCTGTGAAGGTGATAGAACTGAACTGGTGACATCAGCAAGGTTCTGTCCCATACAGTGATATTAGGGTACATATACAAAGCTGGCATTTAGGGATGTATTAGCTTTGCCATCTGCTCTGTGTGCTTTAGTCTCCTCCCCGGAACTGAGGCTGTCCATCCCCTTCCTCATTCCCATGTGCTGACTTTCCAGTGCTCCCATTTTACAAATACTCTTAGAAAGCTGGTGAGGGCACACCTTCCCATTCCATCTCTTTGGACCTGTTGGCAGTGCAGTTCTGCTCACTCCTGTCTGTGGCTGCTCTCGGGCTGTAGTCTCTTTATACTCTGCATTTAGCCACCTGCTGTCTTCAAAAAGTGGGAGAGAAGGTTTCCCCCTGAGTGTGGAGCTCTGTGTGTATCTCAAAAGACCAGCATAACTATTGTTTCAGAAACATGTTTGCCTTTTCCCTGCTTTAGGAGCTTTTTTCACCCTTGCTGTCCAGCCTCCTTAGCCAGTGGAGAGGAGTACTGTAGCAGCAGAGTTTGGAGGGAGCAGGAATCCTTTTTTCCTTTTCTCCTCCCTTCCTCTCAGGACTTCCCCCATCTTTGAAAGAGAAGTTTCAAGGTGAATTTCAAGAGTGGAGCCACGGAGGGAAGTCTTTCACCCTGGGTTTTTTTTAGAGGCAGTGCTGGTGAGGTGAGGGAGGGAGCAATTTCTCGGACAATCCGTCCATTTTAGCCAGTGTGTCAGACAGCATTCTGTATACAGTGATAACGCAACGTTGCATTTTAAATTATTTAATCTTTAGGGTACTGGTATTTTCTAGACTGCCAGATGTGTACTTTGGAGTCTGTGTGTGTATATAAAGTCTATAGTCTATCAAAGGTTAACAGGAATCCCATTTGTATGACTTTGTGTTTTGCAGCAGTCAGTGTTGTTCAACTGTTGATTGCTCTTCACTCTGGTTCCCAGACTTTTTCCCCCTCTTCCTTCCCTTGCCCCCCACTGCCTTTCTGATGTCAGCCTTTCTACCCTAAAAGCAGACAGATGAGACTTGGAGCCTATAGGCTACTGGGGGGAATTCCCCTTGTTTTTAATTACTTGAAGGTCAACAAAAATATTAAAATATCTGGGTTGTCAGGAGTTCCCCCAAAGCTCATTTCTTCAGTGTGATGTCACCCCTCACTTGGTGCTGACTCCAGTACTGTGGTGTTCACATTTTAACAGCAGTGTGGCTGGAAATGATTAAAACTCTAGATACAAAAAAAAAAAAAAAAAAAAAAAAAAAAAAAAAGGTGAGATATGACCTGAGAACAGTTGTCACATACATATCTGTATATATAATTTTTTACATGAATGCTTTTACTTCTTCCTGGCAACCTAATGGATTAATATTTTATGGCCATTTTTTGCTGCTATTGAGCTCAATTTGTGTATCAAATGGAGACTGAAGCTGCCTTTTTGCCTTTTTTGTAGACTCTGCTCCACTTCACTTGCATCAACCATCTCCATCATTTCTTCCCTTCCCTTTTGCCCTCCTCTGAGCTGGCCATGAGCCTGTTCTCAGGAGGCAAATGATCACTTCCCACAGGCAGCCACCACAGCAGGCAATAGCTGCCCTGGCAGTGGCAGTCTTGACAAAGGCCAAAGATGTGATGGGTCACAGGGACACTGCAACTAGGAATATTTTAAGAGCAAGGTCAGGTATAAGAAGCAATAGAAGCAGGGAAGAAGGTGTAGGCAAAGTATGCAGGAAACAACCACTAATGCTGCACCCAGCCTTTGGGTCAAACAGAATGTTGCAGAGTCTTTCAAACTGGCACCTTTCAGTATTAAATGCAGTACATGTGTTGATGTACAGCCTGGAGGGCTGGCTTACCTGCAGGTGGGCTACTTCCTGGCCAAATGTGTAGCACAGAGCAGGAGAACCTAAAGCTGAATGTGAAAAGGGCAGCTCCAGGCCCCCTTCCTGGCAGAGCGGCTCAGACAGATTGATTGTAAGAGGCCCAGGGCACACATTGGGCTGGTGGCTGCTCAGCTCCAAGAATGTCTCCCTGTGTTCTGCTCTAGCTTAGCTCACACAAGCTTCCCATGAGATTGTCGTCTTATTCCCTGTAACCACAGGGTGAGGACCAACTTGCTCAGCTGTGGGTTTCACTGCTGCTGAGCTCCACTGCTAATCTTTCAAGTCAGATGGATTTCTTTTCTCGTGTTTAAAAGCAATTATGGAAACAAGAGGCTGCTTTCTGCCCCCTGGCAAGCTGCCATCAGGGCCCTCATTCTTAGCATGTGGGCACAGCAGTGAGAAGTGATGATGCCTCATCTCTCCCAGGCCTGGAGGCTGTGGATTTGCAAAGGGGAAAGTCCAAGTGCATGATCTGTGACAGAGTGTGTGGAATTCTGAAATAAAATTACTTTCCACAGTAACCTGGTTGTCTGTGGCATGTTTATAAACAGAGGAACCTCTCTCTCTGCTTTCATCTCGGTGCATCACCTTCCTGCTGATACAATTCTGCACCACAGCAGTGCTTGGGGACTGACTTGCCCCTGCTGATTCACTTGCTTTCCCTTTGCAGCTCTGGGCACTCAGCACTTTGCAGCGTGTCTCGAGGGAGCAATCAGCTCTGCAGCAGCATCCTGCCCCTGGCAGCTTTCACAGCAGTCACAAGACGATGTGTAATTGTGGTGCTGAGCCTCTCCTCCTCTTCCCGATGTGCCCGGACAGGCACCTGCTTTTCATGTGGCTCCCCAGACTTCAGAGGCTTCCGTGCCTCTGGAATATTAAACTTTCCTGGGCGGACTCCCCCACCCTTGTTCAGCCACACCCTGGTTTTTGTGTGCCAGGCTTCTCTTATCCAGGCATCAGCCTTGAGGCAGCGAGGAAGCTGCTTTGCCAGGGGCCCATGTCTGCTGTGGTGAAGTTCTTTACAGTAATTCCCAGTTTTATGTGCCTGCCTGGGAAGGTAGAGTGGAAATGTTGTATGTCAAACAAGGTGTGAAGTCATGCTGCTGTTGATGGGTCCCAGGCTTCTTAATTCTTGGAAGACAGGCTACAGTGGCAACGTTGTCCTGTAAGACTTGTCTCAATGAGGACTCTGTAATTAACTGTTTTAGAGGGTATTTTATGATACAAAGGGAGCCTACATCTCCAACTTTTTTTCTAATATCCCTTGCCTGCGTTGCTTTGCTTTTTTTTTTTCTTTAATCTGTTCTGTAGAAACAGATCAGATGAGATCACGCACATTTCATGCCATACAGAGTCTTAGAGGAGCAGCTAAAATAAGCTGCTCTGTGAAATCTGTGTCAGGCATTATCCCCTCAAGTTAAAGCCCCTGGAATGCCTGGAGCCTGCAATACGTGGTTAATAGAGACAGCGGTTTGCCCCTGTGCATAAAAGTTGTCCTGGCATGAAGAGGGAGGAAAGATCAAAAGATAAGTGTGTTTAATGTAAAGAAGAAATAATTGAGGGGAGTGATGATAATTATTGCAAGTATGGAAAAAGTTGCTACAAAAAAGAGGAATACAAGTAGTTCTCCAGGCTGCAAAGACTTAGAATCTCTTTTGTTCTTAGCCTAAGGAACAAACACCCTAGGAGGAAAGTGAATTTTGAAATAAGCAAAATATTTTGCCCACTTTGTTATATAACCACAGCCCTGTCCTGGATATTAATGTAGCTGAATTTACATTTTCCTTATTTACTTTTGCATCTCTTAATTTTCAAAAATAAATACATAAATGCTGGCCTATTTTTTATATAATCTTAAACCGGGGAAGAAAGGATGACTGAAGCCCAAATTTGAGATTATCATGCTGAACTGTTGAACTGCATTAATAATGTTTCTTTTTTTGTTCCCAAATACTTAGTTGCATACATGGTTTTTTAAGGTTTATTTCAATATTCTACACTTTAGAAAAGCTGCAGACAGCTGCTGCTTTTTAAATTTAGTCTCATAGAAAAAAAAAGCACCTCTTCCAACTTGTAGTTTCACAGAAAAAAAGAGGAGCCTCTTCCAAATGAGGAAATTTTCTTCCAGATAAGAAGAAAATTTGGCTCGCTACCTGCACTATTCAATGGCCCTGCATGGCTTACTGAATCTGGGACTGGATCTTGAAATGTGGGGCTTTGCCCACAGAGGCAGCAAGGAAGAAATGGGAGATTCTACCTCCTACCAGTGAAACCCTGTATTGGCTTCCAGCCCCAGGAGAACTGCTTGAGAAATCTGGATTTTATCTGCTTTATCTTTGTCAGGCTGAGTTTATGATCTGAAGGACTCAAGAAATATCTTTCCCCTCCCTTTTATTCTTTTTTTTTTTTTTTTTTTTTTTTTTTTTTGTTGTAACATTCAAAGCTTCTTAGAATAGGTTTAATGTCCCTTGCACAATCAAGGATAAAATTTTTACCAGCATACTTTGAGAAGGACAGCATTACTCACAAGTCAAGGACCCAGAAATGTGCTGGTGAGCAGGCTATTACTCCTTTCTTTACAGTGTGTGATACTGTGGAATAATCTTGCAAACAATAAGGCAAAAGAGGGTGGTAAAACCAGTGGGTAAGGCAGGGAAAATCTGAAGTCACTCTGTAGATAGGAAATGTTCTTGTCATTTTACAAAAAGCAAAGCGAGTGGGACACAGAGTTTGGCTCAAGGAACTCAAACTTCTCATGATCTTAAGCTTTGCTAAGTACTCATGCAGAAGTCAGTTCTGAACCAAATCACATTAAACACACTAAAAGTTGGATTGATTTTTATTTTGCTGCCCTGGTTCAATTTCCCTGGCTCCTGTGGCTAAGTAGCTCTTTGATCTTGTCTATTAACACTCAGTGCTAAGCTTCTCAGGGGAAATATATAAAAATTCTAACCACATTCTTCATGAAAAGCCTTCTCCATACAAATAAAGGACAAAAGTTGCTCACTTGTGTTACTTGTTTTGTTTAGGATTTTCTTTTGTTAGGCAACAATTCCCTGGCTTCAGTTCAATTCCACCTTTCCCCTTCCTCTCTCTGTGGTAGAATTGTCACTGTTCTACAGAAGCCCAGGGGTGATACTGTCCCATAAGACATGCCACTGCCATGATCCCAGTCCTGTACAGCCCTCTTGTCTCATTGTGCTCAGCATGGCAAAGGACAGGCCTCAGAGGCAGCAGACACGAGGGCACAGGTGGCAAATGTTGGACTGTGCTGGCTCTTTACCTCTCACAATGGGCATTACTTCAAAACTTCCAGGGCCCTGCCAGGCTCCTTACCTCCCCTGAAAGGCAATAAGCAATTGTTCCTGGAAGAAGTATTGCAGAATGACATTTTTGCCTTCAGATTCCCGAATTTATTTAGCACAGGGGACCTTGGAGACAGTAAGTACCAGCACTTACATGGATAATAAGATGTGAATCATATTTAGCTGCTGCTTGTTTGCAGCACTGTCAGAGGTGCGCTGCAGCCAAGGCACTACAAGGCACAGCAGTCCCAGAGGCTGCAGAGCTGCAGCTCCCATGGTGCTTGTTAGAGAGCACTGGCAGGGGCCCAGCTGCCTGGCACTCACAGGGAGGCTGGGTTCTGCTCAGGCAAGGACGTGACCAAGGCACAAACCTTCTCTTTTCCAAATTGCTGCCTGGCGTTGCGAGAGGACAGTAGAAAACACCTAGACCTAGTCTGGTGCCTTTTCTTAAACAAGGAGCGGTGAGCTTATGTTTGGGGCTAGGAATTCCCTTCCCTTCCCTTCCCTTCCCTTCCCTTCCCTTCCCTTCCCTTCCCTTCCCTTCCCTTCCCTTCCCTTCCCTTCCCTTCCCTTCCCTTCCCTTCCCTATGTAAAACAAGACAATGACTGAAGAAAAATGCATCTTCAGTCCATCACTTTGCACTGCCAAGGAGGATGTTTGGTGTCACCAGCAGACTGGTTACTCCCAAGCTTTGTGCCCTGGGACAGATTTACCCCTTTGTGAGCCTGCCCTGCCTAGGGGAGACCTGTATTTCTGATAAGTGCATCCAAGCACATCTTACTGACGCTGCATGGCTGAGGTGAATGGCTCAAATGTTACCTTTCTGAATAGCACAGCATTGCCTCAAACCCAGAGATGTCTCCTCCTGAAGCCAGGACAGGGCCTCAACAGTCTCACCCTTTGAGTACCAGAAGAGCAGGCCAGCCCTGCCTCCCCAGCAGAGCTCCTGACACACCTGGGTTAGGTCTCAAACCACTTCTCTCAGCAGTCAAGCACAGAAACCTCCTCCCATTAAGGGAACTGCAAACCCCACTCACCAGGCACCACAGCAATGGCAGCAAGAGGGCAGGTGGGTTGAGAGGA